GAGAAGAACCTTCTAGCTAGCATTCCATCCATCTTTTCATAAAATTTGTATTTACAATCTGTTTTATTACTATCTGTGTTCTTTGTTTTAATTTCGTCAAAACGAAATCCCCCTTTACTTTAGTGTTTCAATTTAGTTAGAAAGTGTCTTAGTTTGTGTTTCTAAGTGTTTTGATTCAATTTATCACCTGATAGGAGCATATTTACGCACCTTAGTTTAGCTTGTTTTTGTGCATTTATAGTGTTTTTCCTTAGTAAAGTAGTCTTTTAAGCTAGTTCTATGTGTTTTCAGGTTTTAAGGGCAAAGTATGCAAAAGGATGCATTTTGGAGCCTTTTGGAGCAAATTAGAGCTTGGAATGGACATCATATGCTTGGAGCCAAGATGATGGACGAAATTGAAGATTTGAAGATGATGTTTCCTACTTGAACAAGGTTTCCTAGTCAAAGTAGGAAAGTCCCTAATGGAAGATGGTTTCCTAGTTGAAATAGGATTCCTAGTTAAAATGGGTTTCCTAGTTTAATTAGGAATCCTAGAAGAACAAAGTTTCCTACTCAAATAAGGTTTCCTACTTGATGAAGGAAAGTCAAAATCCAAATGGTCTCAAGTGAAGCAACAAAGAAGTTTTCCAAGTCCAAGATGGAAAAGGAGTCCAAGATGAAGAAGGAATGATGAAGACAAGGTTTCCTAATCCTAATAGGCAAAGTTTCCAAGTGCAATGAGGAGTCCTTATCCATTTAGGGCACTTTATCCATTTAGGATACCTTATCCTTGTTCTAGAAACCTTATCCATCCTTGCCGTGAGTTTTCCTTGCATTAGAGGGTTTCTAGAAGCCCTAATCTGCCTTATCCTTTAGTGCCGCACCTATCCCTTCTAGAAAGCTGATTTCCCTTGCCTTGCAAGGCATTCCAGTTGTGATTTCATAAATTGTGAATGCAATTTACTTAACCGTTTGATGGATAACTTATTCTTGTATGTTGATTAGGGAGGCCTACTTAATTTGCATGCTTGAATTTGGTGCTAGAATATAAGGGTGTTTCACATAATCGTTACAAACTTATATTCACAAGTAGTTACGGTTGTTTTCACAATCATGTTAAGTAAATTCCTCGCATGAGTATCATGATGTCATAGTTACAAGTGCTTTGTCAATACTTATGATTTCCATTGAACGTAATGATCTTTGATTGTATCTCTATTATGATGTCATGTAGGGGACCTTTGAAGAATGCTTTGGGTTGTCGTATGATGTCATCCAATCCAATAACTTAAGGGAAATCTAAGGGTTAATTAGTGATGTCACGGTTAATCTGGGGTATTGAGGTTCATGGTTTATCGGAAAAGCAATTGGAAATCAACTTGTGTTTGAATGTATCATGTGTGGAGAAGTATCCCTTGGCTAGTTCATCATCCATTGGTTTTTCTTAAATTTGTCCAAAATCTGTTTTCAAGTTTAAGTTACTTGTTTTCTTTTCAATTCGTCCAAAATCAAACGCCCCTTTCTTACTTGTTCTAAATCTGTCCAAAAGTGTCTTTTTAAGTCTTTTGAGTCAAAACTAATTATATTTTCGTCCAAATTGAGTCTTAGAGTCTAAATTAAGTCCTTTTGATTGTTTTGAGTTGTTTTGAGTCTTTAAAGATTGTTTTGAGTCATACAAGTTTAGTTAGAGTCTTTTGAGTGTGTTTAAGTGTTTTAAAGCATATTTTTACATCTTTGACTCGATTTTCATTAGATTAGCAATCCCTCCTAATCCCCGGCCTAGAACGATCCCTACTTATATCTATACTACAATTGTCAAAAAGAGGGTTTAATTTGTGTGCTATTATTTGTCACATCAAGTACCAAAGAGTAAACACTTTCGCTATGTTGGATCTACCTTGCACGGAGCATTAGATGGAGTATCAACCATAGAATACAAGTTGGATGGATGAAGTGGAATCGTGCATTGGGCATGTTGTGCAATTGTCGTTCCCACTAAAGCTCTGGCAAAATTTTATAGAACAGCAATAAGGCCAAGAATGCTTTATGGCATGAAATGTTGGGTGGTAAAAATTAACACGAGCAAAAAATGAGTGTAACATAAATGAGAATGCTTCATTGGATGTGTGGGCACACAAGAAGATAGGATTAAGAACGAGGATATCCGAGGTAAATTAGGAGTGGCCGCAATTGAAGATAAGATGAGAAAAAATTGGTTAAGGTAGTTTGGACACATAAATAGAAGACTACAAATGCTCTGGTTACGAGATGGACGCTAAGTGTAAAAGGCGTATAGGAAGACCTAGGAATGCTTGGAAAGAAACTTTAAGAAAAGATATGGAGTATTTGGAGCTAATGGAATTATGGAAGACATCGTGCAAAACCGCCCAGTGATGTTCTAGAATTCATACAACCGACCCCACTTGTTCTTGTCCATGCGTGGGATGAGGGATGTGAATGTTTTACAAAGAAGATGCCAAAAGAGGGTGGCTGAAATCTCCTTCATCCTCTTTGGGCCAACGATGATCAAATCCAAACACCAACTTTACCATCACTGGATAGACAACAATCGGAATGATTTCAAAGTTCTAACTAATTATCAAACTAATAATCGTGAAGCAAATCCAACGAATTTCCAAAATTTATAAGATAAATATTAGTGTCAAAGCAATAAAACTACCCTTCGGTCTTCATTCTGATCAGGTACAATGTATTTACCACTTTTTCTTAACTTTGAATAAAATACAATCGGTACTGCAAAAAGAGAACCTTTCATAAGCACAGTTTTATACATCTACAAGTATTAGCATTTCCAGAAAGTAATATTTAAATAATTGCAAGCCCATATCCTCTATGATTAACTGCAATAACAGATGCAAGAATGCAAGTGAAGCAGGCATGGTGTCAGCATGCGTTGTTAATTGCAAACGTACGTAGGCGCTAGATGTCATAAAATCTCATTATGTGTCAACATAAGCTAGGCCAGAAACAATATTCTAGCCGCTGTTAAAAGACTTTCTGACTAAAATTGCCAGCAGATTCAAATTACGATAATCCCCAAACTCTGATCTGTTTGAAACTTAGGAGGACTGCACACTTTATGGAATGAAATCTCACAAGTTTGAAACATGAATACTATCTCCTAAGGGCTGGTTTGGTATTGCTGTGCTTTGAAAAAAAACTGCTTCTGTTATGCTGTAAGAATAAGCAGCTGTGAAATAAAGCAGCAGAGTGTTTGGTAAACTTTTCTGTAAAAGTGCTTTTGGAAAAAAAAGCAGTATGATAGTGTTTGGTAAATTTTTATGTAAAATAACTGTGACTATATGAAATGCCCAAAAAGGGTATAATACTATATTATTATTATGATATTTTATTTAATATTACTATTTTTATGTGAGGATTTTGTGTGGTCGTGGGGCCCACACCCCATTTCCCTTATCCCTGTGTCTTCCTTTCCCTCCCCCAATTCTATTTTTCCCCTCCTTGCATGAAGTTTGATACTCATCTTCACCATTCCCAAATTTTCTTTTTCATCCTTGCTCATCTCTTTTCTCCGTCTGTTTCTCATCTCTCTCTCCAACCACCAATCTGTTTCTCATCTCTCTCTAACCACATAGCCACCATAGTAGTGGATCCACCACCACGCAGCTTCAATTCCAGATGCCAGAGTGCCATTTTAATGTCAGATGTAGCACCGAATGGGTTTTAGATCCGGTGTTCGCCAACAACTCTGACTTCAAACCCATCATGGCACAAAATTATCTCCAACCATGTAACTTGAAGCCAGTTATTGGACGATGTGCAAGCGAGGAAAACCCAGATGCCCACACCATACCACAGAAGGCAAGAATCAGGACAAAATCAGTCATTTCCCTTCTACCCATTTCCCCCCTCTCTCAGATTTCTCAGTCCCCAAACACCAAAACAAACCCACCTCTTGGATCTCATCGCCCCTCCCTCCTGTACATATCCGGCGAAATAAGAATATCAACTATGAAGATTCGATCTTCAACCTAGCAAGAAGGAGAAACAGAGGAGGGTATTTTTGAGATTGTAAAAGTTTCATTAAATTCTACAGTTCACCCGCCTCTTGAAAAAAAAAAAAAAAAAAAAGTTGGCTTTGAGAAGCAGCATTTTGCTGCTTCAGCTTTTTGCCACTTTTCAGCTTAAAATGATAGTGACTTTGAAAATAAGCAGAGTTACCAAACACAAATTTTACTCCATCTTTTTTTCATCCCTGCTTTTTCTTTTAATCACCTCAATGCCAAACTAGGCCTTTGATATGGCTTCCACAAATGTTTACGGCAGTTGACTCAGTTTATAGCTAATATCTTAAACTATTTCATTTAAATACAGCCTGAGAGACTACATTGTGAAGCAATTGATTAAAATGGTGTGGAAAGTACTGAAGACCATTTTCAGTTTGGCATACGGCATATTGACCTCTCGATGTTTGAAATACGTTCAAGCAAATCAAAAGCTTACCAAGCAGAAAAACAGTGAGCATTAAACCAAGGGTAATTTGAACTGAACAACGATTGTTCAGGCGTGGAGGTGTTTGCCATTGCTTCCGTGGGCTTTGCAATTGCTTCTGAGATGCACCAACCCGACTGTACATCTGCAGAAGACAATCTTTAAGTTCATTTTTCAAAAATCAAAATAATAATAAACAAATGCAAAAATCTATCAGCTGAAAGAAAGCAGAGGAGAGAGGATGAAGCTTGTTCCTTTCTTTCTCCTTGCATGTGAAATATTTATTGCCTTATAATCAATTGTTATAATCAACTCTGCCTTTCAAGTACGTAATAAACTGACCTGGTTGAACAAATTAATTGCTCCAGTTGCCTGATGCAACCTTTGCTTCCCGAAGACAAGTTTGAATCCTTTTTCTTCTGGAATTAGATTTTTTCTCTGTTCAACTTCATCTGCTATTACGATCCTCAGCTCACTATAATTTGGTGAACATCATGTCTTCCTTGTATAAATTATATCATCCTTCATTTCTGCGACTTCTTTTCCTTTCAATTCCATGAAAAATTTGGATCCTTGGAAATAGTAATAACATCTTTAACACCCTTTATTTCATCAGAAATGTCTCCATTGCAGGCAGCACTATATTTAAGGTTCCTGTCTTTTCTTGTAGTGTCACTTTCCTCGGAGCTTTTCACCCCATGCCTGAGTTCTACACATTCATTTTTGGCTGTTTGCTTACTTTGGGATGTCCCAGAGAGAAATGCACCAAAATCATCGTGTTCGTCTTCATCCATGTGTACCCATTGAAGGGGTTTCTTTCCTTCCATACTAAACGATTCCCTTAGTGCTGTTTCAACACGAGAAATTTGGTTTTCAATAGCAGCAACAAATTGTCCATGTCTAGCTGCTTTATGATCATCACCACATTGTCTATAGCTCAACCTGACAGCCGTCTCAAACTCTTCCAACTAAAAACACATTGACCATTCAACATGACAGATACAGTTAGAAAAGGTGCAATAGGGCTGGCTAAACCATTTACATAAAAATTAAAAAATTAAAATTTCTCTGATTTCAATTGGTATTAATATCTAACAATCCAAATCAGGATTGAAATGCTAACAGAGATTGACGTTAAAGTTGAGATGAGTTTTTTTACTTTCTTTTGGAATCGATGGAAATTTTTTCTAAATTGGATTCTTCCTTGCTCAACTTTATTAACAAACACCAGGATAGTATTGATACACACATAAATTCTGATAAGATTTGTGTACAGTGAATAAACAAGAGAGGAAGAAAGGGAGATAGCTAAAGTGGGACGAGAGACGTACCTGCCATTTGGCAGTACCTAAAGCGGTTTGCAGCTCCCTACAGAGTTCATCCAAATGTTCTTGTGCTAGCCTTTCACTCCTCTGTCGAACCCATGCCTTGTATATAGATTCCATTCTGGAAAAGAAAATAAACGGAAAATAAAAGGGGGAGGTAGAGAATAAATTATTCTGAGTACCAATTTTATTGAGCTTTCTAAAAAGAAACAAATATGTCATTCTATATAACGGTTTGGTGGTATTCCTCTTCATTTTAAAGTGAGAGGTCTTATTCGAAAACGAGAATCAGCTCCCTTCAATCTTTGCAAAAACTTAGAGGGAATAGCAGCATAATACCACTAAATCCCTGTAATCACTGATTACTCAACATAAGGAGTTGACAATTGGTAGAATAACAACTCAAATTCTAAACTGGAAGAAAATGGTATTTTTCTTTAGGCCGGGAAGAAAGTGACCTTTTGATTATAGTTCACCTATCCCCGGGATATAGGGCGGTCTACCGTCTACCATTATCTCCACAGTGCAACCATTCCCAGTACAGTTGAGCATACTTTTTCTTGTCATCCAAATGAAGGGTAAAATCACGCTAACGCACTCAATTACAGCACAGAGAAGCTATATCCGTAAAAAATTTATCATTTCCAAACCATCATGAGAGATTACTTATCCAAAACCTATCTAGAAGTTCAAATTCAACCCAAAATATACATCAGGCACATCATCAAAACTTAAAAAAAGTGGGAAAAACGGAGAGAAACACACAACCTAAAATCCCAATGACAAAACTCAAAAACCAGCATAACAATCCAATTGAAAATTCTCCAACAAACTACAAAATCTAAGCACTATCAAACATACAACAGAAAACATGTCACATCCCGGCCCGGGGTGGATCACTTCCCGGGCCCGCTCCACCACCGTAGCACGATAATGTCCGCTTTGGGCTTACCATTCCCTCACGGTTTTGTTTTTGGGAACTCACGAGCAACTTCCCAGTGGGTCACCCATCATGGGATTGCTCTAGCCTCCTTCTCGCTTAACTTCGGAGTTCCAACGGAACTCGAAGCCAGTGAGCTCCCAAAAGGCCTCGTGCTAGGTAGGGATTGGAATATACATTTAAGGATCACTCCCCTGGGCGATGTGAGATGTCACAATCCACCCCCCTTAGGGGCCCGACGTCCTCGTCGGCACACCACGACCAGGGTTAGGCTCTGATACCAAATTGTCACATCCTGGCCCGGGGCGGATCACTTCCCGGGCCCGCTCCACCACCGTAGCACGATATTGTCCGCTTTGGGCTTACCATTCCCTCACGATTTTGTTTTTGGGAACTCACGAGCAACTTCCCAGTGGGTCACCCATCATGGGATTGCTCTAGCCTCCTTCTCGCTTAACTTCGGAGTTCCTACGGAACCCGAAGCCAGTGAGCTCCCAAAAGGCCTTGTGCTAGGTAGGGATTGGAATATACATTTAAGGATCACTCCCCTGGGGGATGTGGGATGTCACAAAACAACTGATGCATATTTCACTTCAAAAAATTCCCACAAAAACATAATTCAATAAAACCCATATCCAAATTCCAATAACGTAGTCTAAATAAACACAAAAACCCACCAACAAAATCAAAATTGCTTGCCAAAGATCAAAACTGCTTGCCACCATCATCTTGGTTCTTCACCAACAACAAAAACCCACCAACAAAATTGATAAACAAGGACACCTAATTGCCTTCCGAGCCTTAAAAGTTAAACCAAGCAAAAAAAAAAAAAAAGCATCAAAAGTTTTCATATAAGCGGGTATTTTTGTTGTTTGGTCGTCTCCTGTCTTCTGTTCTCTTCTTTGCTGAGGAGAAAGCAAAGAAGGAAGAGAAAAGAAGAACGAAGAAACAAAGCCAAACAAATTGAGAGAGAGAGGACAGTGATGGGAGACGTATAAGGGATCTACTTTATCATTCAATTATAGATAACAAATCTTTGCCATCCAATACTATAAGTGAAATCGTGTATGTTCTTTATCATCATCTAAAAGTTATACATGCAAAATATAATTCAACTTGAAAATCTTTTAGTCATTTTTATACATAAAACAAATAAACTGTTCACCATAAGGATGTCATTTGTTATCAAAATCGTTGAAAGGCTCAATTATGATATTTGGGAGGAAAATATTTGTTATGATAACAAAAGCATTATCCATATTAATATTCAACCAAAAGAAACATTAAACTAAGGGTGGTGATCTCCGGACTGGGATCACCTTCGGATCCCAGCCTACGGAGCTAACTGATCAAAAGATCCCATCCTTCCATTTTTTATCATGTGGCCAAGAATAAATTTAAATGTTGAAAAATTCTCACGCAAAACAAGGCAAGATGAAATTGGAAGGCTGAGATCTTCTGATCAGTTGGCTCTGTACGTTGGGATCTGGAGGTAATCCTAGTCCGTGATTTCCTACATCCATTTTACCATATACACTGTTGAAAACTATTAACAATTAAAAAGGTGTGCCAGAGGTATAAAATAGTATATGAAAATGACCACCTTAACCTGTAATATAAAGTAGTTACTACTTTTGCTGCAACAGACCAAAAAAAAAGATGTAGCTTGACACACCCCGACCGAAATCAAGGCGTGCTGGCTGTCACGTGAGAGTGACGTAGCCATGTGCACAGTGCGGAAGTATAAATAATAAAACAATTACGAATAAATAAAAACCAAACTATAGATAAACTAGTTAAAGTAATACGCTAGTGTAAGACTAAGTGTGATAAACATAATCAGAGCACAAAAAGCCTAAGTGCAGTCCAGTAGGACGAATACTAATTACACAACACCCAAAGGTGATCCTACATTTGTGATGTTCTGTCAGAACCACCATCAAAGTCCTCGTGATCCGCCAAAGCGCTTTTACCTAAAACATGGAGGGGCATAAAACAGAAAGTGTGGGTGGGCAAAAACAAAACTTTTCAAAATCATTTCGTTCTCAAAAGTTCTAACCCTTCTCCGTAAAACCTGTATAATTTCCCAGAAAATAGAATATATGAATATATCGAAATCATGCTCAGAATAACAACATTCATAATTATGCCATGACGAATTTCTCAGCATAAAGTATAAGTAAACCAGGTAATATCAATCAATGCAAATGATATGTCAGCCGAAATCACCTAACGTGACCTGTACGGCTGAATCTAGAGCTCGAATCCACATCTCAACAACTATACCTGCACACGAGTTGGAACCATCTCAAATGGTCTGTATGACAGGACTAGGTGTAAATAAATACGCTCAAGTGCTACGATCACGTGAAGACTGTGCGAATAATCGCGGGTCACCTACGAGTCGGAACCACTTATAGTGGTCTGTACGACAAGACTGTGCATCTAACTTGGATCCAAGATGAGCGTGTGGTGTGGGAGGTGAACATCACATGAAGAACTGTGCCCTAACTCTAGGCGAGAGCACTAACACCGGGGTGCAGGTTTATAAGCTCTCAATGCATCTCACATAACCATTAATTCACATTCATAAACTATAACTTACCTGGCACTTACCTGTGCGTCCGCAGCACCAAACATACATATGTGCAACTACTAATACATAAATAAATAGGCAGACACTTTGCATGGCATTTTAAAACATATAAACATTCAATTTCAGTTTCTGGGAAAAATTCTCGAGTATATAGGTATATACGGAAAACCAAAAGCCCACTCACTGGTATGTGGAAGGGTCGTAACCCCTGAGCCTTGAGTGACTGCGCTCGTTTTCAGGATAGGTCTCACCTATATGCGAAACAACTATAAAAATGTCAATTTAAAACACATAACCAAAACTAGGTAATAGCTTCTCATACAATGCTCAAACGAGGTGTTTGAATATACCAACGTGATCTACTCAACCTCACGAACATCCCCATATTTTTAAAATAATTTTCTGACCACCCACACGCCGCCATGTGCCGACCAAGGCACGGCCAGACACGCTGGCCACGCATGGGCACGTGCCTGGCACACGTGTGGAAACCCTAATGGAGTTAGGGAATATTTCGTCCAAAAGCAAGCATATTCTGTTAAAACGAACCTGATGCTGTTATGAATATTCCGTTAAGATTAACGGAATATTCTCCTTTTTTCTCCGGCTAGTCGCCGGACTCCGTCGCCGTCGCTGGAAACTGGGAAAAACTTTAAACCTTTATATCTCAGTTGTTTTTCAACCAAAATTATGAATTTTGTAAGAAAATGAAGCTTACGAAGAGTTAAACAAAACCTTACCACTTTGGGGTCGAAAACCAATGGAATCTCGTTGGAAAAACCCATGATATTCCAGCCAAACCTGCAACTCACTGAAACTGGGCTTCCCAACGTCCAAAACACTTTAGCTTTCTTCTCCGAGCTTCATGAGAGTGTTCTAAAGCTCCCTATGACCTTAAAAACTCCTAAAAACTTCACGATCATGTGTGCATGAACAGTGCATGAAATTTGGGGTTAGGGTTCTCAAGGTTTTCGAAGGTTTCAAGTCTCACAAATGGTATAAATGAACTTAGGAACTTGCAAGGAGTTCGAATCTTGCCTTCTAGACGTCGATCTGTGCCTGAAATGGTTGATTTGGGTGATGTCCATACGACTTGTACGGAAATGCAGAAAAATCCGAGAAGGAGGAGAGATAGAAAGGTCCACGGGTGTGTGTGTGTGTAGGTATGTGGTAGTAAATGAGTCAACAACCGAAAAGAAACAACTAAACAACACCCCACAATGGCAACTAACAATCAAGGGCAAAATCATCATTTCACACCTACGGTACAAATAATTCGGGACGGGTTGTCACATAGCTAATGACCGCTAAACCTTCGCCATGTACACTTAGGAGCCACCTAAGAGTGTATATTTTTTGGAAATTTACTGTTTTTATGATTCTACAAAAGGGCTCAGCTAACACCATTTAGTATTACGGCTTACTAGTATTTTTCTCTACTTGTAAGCGAGAGGTTTTAGGTTCGAATTTTTTAAATGACGAGTTCGATACTAACTCATTCGCACACCAAGAGGTGCAAATCTATCGTTGTAGTATAAAAATGTCTAATTTGTTTGACAATCAAAATATTGAGTTTTAGATCAT